CCAGCAAAGTGCAAATCAAACTACATTGAGTTTTATGTCCCTCCAGAAGGAATGGCTGAAGACTGCAAAAACCATTATAACACGCGGAATGTGGAGAAAAACAAACCCTCCCATACTGTTGCTGGAATGTGAACTGCTACAGCCCAAAGGACACCAGGATGGGTTTGCTGAAGAAAACATAATACAGATGCCTTTTGACCCAGCGATGCCACTCGGAGGTGTATTTCCAGGACAGTTAAAGGCAGGATGCTACAGGGAAGGTGCAGGGCACCACTATGATTGTCGTGGCACAATTCACAGTAGCTAAGCCATGGAAACAGACCAGGGTTGTCAGCACATAAATGGGTAAATCAGATGTTGTAAGTCATACAACATATATATATATATATATATATATATATATATATATATATATATATACATATGAATAAAGACATAATTTCCAAGAAATGGGTGGAACACTATCATGTTTAGTAAGATAAATCAGATTCAAACAGTCAAACATTGCATGTTTGCTTCCATGGGTGATATCTAAAAAGGGAGTTAGGTGGTGGGGAAAAGAAAGGGTCATGATTGGAAAATACAAGCAGGACTATTAGAGATGCACAGTGGGATTAGGGTGAGGTGGTGAGAAAGGAGCAGGGAAACAAGGGGCCGGGATGCAGCTCAGCAGTGTAAGCGCCTGCCGGCAAGCGGAGGTCAGGGTGTGATCCCCACTATCATGTGCACACACACACACACACACACACACACACACAACTCAACCAGAGCAGGGAGGTAATGGAGTGGTGAAAATAACCAAACTGCATGGTGTGCATGTACCAAATGCCAAAACTAAACCTAAAATGTCAAAACAGCCTGTGATTCTGCAAACATTTTTAAAAAACCCTAGCACCAACAGCTCAAAAGCCAAAGGAAAAAAAAGAACACTAAAGAAATAATTAAAATGTGGTAATAAATGAGAAAATACATAGCAAGAGACAAGTTTATAAGCGGATGTTTGTGCATAAAGAGCACCTGATGAGTCTGAGCCACAGCAGGAGAGCGCACACATACACTTCTGTCCAACAATGCAGAGCGTCAGCACTGTATTAAATTACATCTGGGTGTGATGTGTGTGTGTTACCTGCACATACAAAGTCACACATGTAATGAAGATGAAAACATCACGTTATATACATGTATTCTGTCTGGACACCAGATGTTCCTAGAAAATACTCAGAATGTAACTCACGACATCAGTTGATTTATCAACGGGTGCTTAGGAACCAGAGGCAAGGAAACTCTTTCACCACTGGTTTTGTGTTTTGAACCACGTAAAGTTTTTTCATATTGAAACTTCATTCCTAATGGAGAAAATATAGGAATGCTTGACATCTAAATGAGTCTTTTAAAGACTAGAAAACATTTTATAAGTGTGTGTATACGAGTATCATTTTAACTCTTAAAAAGCATTGCCCCAGTGTAAGTGGCAGCTAGAGTCTAAGACAAAATGTTCATTAGCAGAGACAGAACCACTCGCTGCTGGTGCTGCAGGCGCCAGCCAAAGAGGTGTCTTTGTAGTTTGCAGGAAACAGTTTCATAAGCTGTTTGTGAAAATCCAGTATTTAAATGTGTGGGGCAAATAATTTAATACCACAGAGCAAAACAGGATTTCAGAAAGCTGCTGAAGTTGAGCCTGGGTCGCTGGTATGATATAGCATTAAAATAAAATGGTAGGTTATGAGGCAGGATAAAAAAGTCACATAATGTTATGGGTCTTAATAGGGGAGTGAAACTGAGAGATTTTAAATTTATTTCTATTGGACTATGATTGTAAATTTCTTTCCTTTTTTTTTTTAATTTTGAGACAGGGTCGCGCTGTGTAGTTCAGGCTGGCCTTGAGCTCACTTTGTAGCCCAGGCTGCTGTCGAACTTGCAGTGATCCTCCTGCCTCAGCCTCTCGAGTGCCGGGATGACAGATGTGTGCCATCATGCCCTGCATGCTTGTAAGTTTCATGCAGAGTTTAGCAGTAAGAAAACAACAGTAACAATGACAACAATAATAATGAGGAGGACGAGAGGAGAGTTCAGATGCTAACAGTGGCGGTGCTGGTCCCAGTGACAGATGTGGCCGTAACAGGTGATGGCAGGATGATGGTGACGGAATGGTAAGGCGAGGCCAGTGCTGGGACCATGCCGCTGTTGGCAGCGTTGATGAGGGCAAATGTGGCAGAAATGGTGATGGTGACATGATGTTGATTGGGGTGGAGATGTTTGACAGGACCCTGATGGTGCCAGGGACATTTGGTTGTCCTGTTACTGGGGATCAAACCCAGGGCCTCCGCACTCCGCAAAGGATATATATCGGCTATATATCCTTAGCATTTTAATGTTTTTAACTTTGACAAAGGGTTTCCCAGAGTTATTCCTCCATTTTTACTTATATAAAATGCTAGCATTGTATGAAATTGCATCTCTGTGTGACCTCTGTGTGACCTCTGTGCGAACTCTGTGGCCTCTGTGACCTGTGTGACCTCTATGTGATCTCTGAATGACTTCTGTGTGATGTCTATGTGATCTCTGTGTGACCTCTGTGTGGCCTCTCTGTGACTTCTATGTGATCTCTGTTTCACCTCTGTGTGACCTCTACGTGACCTCTACGTGATCTCTGTGTGACCTCTGTGTGACATCTATGTGATCTCTGTGTGACCTCTCTGTGATCTCTGTATGACCTCTATGACCTCTGTGTGACCTCTGTGTGATATCTATGTGATCTCTGTGTGACCTCTCTGTGATCTCTGTATGACCTCTGTGATCTCTGTGTGACCTCTGTGTGACATCTATGTGATCTCTGTGATCTCTGTATGACCTCTGTGACCTCTGTGTGACCTCTGTGCAATCTCTTTGTGACCTCTGTGCGATATCTATGTCATCTCTGTGTGACGTCTGTGTGATCTGTGATCCTCCTGCTTTGGCTTAACATGCTGGCGTTACAGGTTTACACCGATACCTGCTTGGCCAAGGCTGGTGACAGTCAGCTCCTGAATTGTGATCACTTTTGACCCTCTTTCCCTTCCACACTACATTGTCCTGCCAAGTCTCCCTTTCTCTCCCTACAAACTCTCTTTTATTTTATATTTTGTTTTAAAAATCATTTATATTTTTGGTTTCTCATAAAAGAAAAATCATGAGAGATTTAAGACCCAGGGTTTGGCTTATTTCAGTTAACATTATTAAGTCAAGATCCATTTTCCTATAAATGGTACCCGTTTACCCTTAATTACAGTGGATTAGTCCACTGTGTATATGTCCAAGTCTTTCCTCGTCTGTCTATCTGTCGATGGGAATCTAGGCTGTCGCATGGCTTAGCTGTGGGGAATTGCGCTGCTTTAAACTTGGGTAGGCCCCTCTTACTGGGTGCGATGACTTTGAATCCTTGGGCGAGTCACACGGGATTTCTCTGTTCAGGTCTCCGAGGGAAGCACTGCTGATTTCCCTAGTGGCTGTAATGCTTTACATTCCTCCCTGACGGAGACCACTATGAAGTGGCTCCGAGCAGGATTTAAAATTAATCAATGGACTTTTAAAAAAAAATTGTAAAGACCACAGTCTGTCGCAGGGCCAGGCCCCTCGCCTGGAGATGGGCAGCAGGCTCCAGGAGCGGGCCTCAGAACCACTGCTCCTGGTGGAGGCCAGCGATGCGAGAGCCTCAGCGGAGCAGACGAGGCCAGAGCTGAGGACGCCCGGCTCCTGCCCTGGGAGGGCGACCTGGACGTCACACAGTTCTCTAAGTCAACATGGTTCGTCAGCTGGAGAAGCCCTCGATCCCTCCAGGGTCCTGCCCAGTTACCCGCATTTCCCACTCTGACCCTTCTCTTGTTTGGAGACCAAATAAATACGGGCGCCCGGAGAAGTTCTTCATCTCGGCTGCAGAGACTCCCGAGCTCTGCTGCAGGGCGCGGCCTCCTGGTGCCAGTTGTGCTGCTGTGCCTCAGCCTTCTGCCCAGCCGTCTGCTCCGCGCCCCCCACCTGCCAGCGGTGCAGAGGGCTCGCTGCCCCAGTGCCTCCGTGTTGGCATGGCTTTGAACTCGGGATATCCACTCTGAATGGAGAACTTGGCGTGTGCGTGTTGTCCTGATTTGCTTTTCTCTGATGACCAAAGATGCTGAGTAATGTACGCATCGGACATTTGTACTTCTTTGGATAAATGTCTATGCTTTTATTATTCATTTTTGATTGGCCCTAATTCTTTTGAGTTCTTTATATATTTCATATATTAGTCCTCTGGAGTAGCTGACAAAATAATTTTCTCTGTAGTTTGTCTCTTCACTCAGGTTTTTTTTGGCGTGGGGTTTTTAATATAATTCTTTTGTTGATTGTTGGGATTATTTCTCATGCAGTTGGTGTTCTGCTCAGGAAGTCCTCGCCTGTACCTGTGTCTTCAATTGTTTTATCTACTTTATCTTCCAATATATTCAGTGTTTCTGGTTTTTTTTTCCTTTTTGGTACAGAAGATCAAACTCACCACCTTGTGCTTGCCAGGCAGGTGTTTATGCCGCTGAGCTAAATCCCTGGCGCAGTGTTTCTGTTTTTATATCTAGGTTTTTGATCCATTTTTATTTTATGTCTACAAAGGGGAGATAAATGTGTCTAGATTCGTTTCCCACCCACTGATGACTGGATTTCCTGCGTCATTTTAAAGCCCTTTCCCAGATCCCTTCCTTGTTAGTGTGTGTTTGTGGTGTGAGCTGGCACAGGCGTGTCACACCTCTGAATTCGCTTCCCTCCTCCCCGCTCCCCGCACTCCCTGCACCTCTTGATTACCTCCCCTTTAGGAAAGATCAGTCTCCTACTATCTAGCTTTTATTTTGCTCTTTATTTATTTTTGGGTCCTCATATAAGGGAAACTATGATAATTTAAGCTTCCGTGTCTGATTTATTTCATGTAACATTATGGTCTCCAGGTGCATCCTTTTCCCTACAGTTGACCCGAGTTTATTCTTCTTTACGGTGGGGCCTTTTGCTCACCCGGGGAGTTGAGGCCTCAGTGATTCAGCTAAATCAAAGGAAAGGGGCTCCGGCCAGCAGGGAGTCAGCCAGCAGAGGGCAGCGGCCACCTACGAATGGGAGCGTGCTCTGCTCCTGCCCTGTGGACAGAGGACCAGCATCTAGAGTACATCATATCTAGAGTATACAATCTCGCTATGTTTGTATATATTTAATAAACAAGCTTATATATCACATGAGGCTTCATATAGGAGAAACCCAGGATGTCAGTAAGTTACAGAGTAAAATGAAAGATACTAGCAAACAGGGAGCGAGGTCTTTCACAAAGGGAGTGAGCCCGCGAGGTGGGCTGCGGGGAGGGAAGGGAGGCAGACGCGATCAGACATGGGGTGACGTGCAGCGCCCACAAGGATGTAACGGTCATGGGCTGCAGACGTGTGCGGACAGAATTAAAGGTACAAAATGCAAGTCAGAATGTCCTCTTGGGAAACATTAGGAAGGCTGCTAAGCAAGGCTGAGCGTAGAGGGGGTGTGGGAGCCGGCAGGGACGCTCAGCCCGAAGGAACAAGCGCTGTCACTTGTTGGATTAAGCGATATAAGCCAGATATACAAAGGCAGGCATCACACGACTCTGCTCACGGGGGAAACAGGAAAACAAGCATGATCTGAAGGTGGAAGAGGGACAGAGAGGGGCTGGGCAGGTGTCCTTGGGGAAGGGGAAGAGCCAGGAAGACACGAGAGGGCTGGTTAGAGTGAGGCACGAGACATTCGTGCGTGGACACGTCGCCCATTAAGTGTTACAATGAGTGTGTGTTAAAAATGGCAGTCAATGACTTTTACACTAGCCCCGGCGGACGGGCCTTTAATGGAGAAGGAAAAGTGATAGCCGATCCACCCGTGACCACAAGGGCACCACGGACGCCCAGGTCAGGTTCAGCCTTTGGCCAAGAAGCAGAAACAAATCAGGCGCTGGATGGCGTACGGTGTCTTCAGCGAGCAAATTCTGGTGATTTCCTTGGCTCTTACTACATGGGGGAGGGAGACGATGAGAGAAACAGAAATTAGCCTTTCAGAAATCAGCCAAGATGTCTAGCCTGCCTGCCACCAGGAAGACACCCTAAAATCTGAATCTTCTGGTACCATTTACACCTCAAAACTCATCTTGAAAAATGGTTTTATTTAGCTTTTCACGAGCGTGCCCGTATGTCCCGTGGCACTATTGACTTTGGCGAAGGGGTGGAGTCTACACACCCTGGAACGGATGACTGAATAGAAAAAGGTACCAACCATATATAAAATGGAGTACTATTCAGTCCTAAAGAGGCATTCATCTCCTGTCATTTGTGGCAAAATGGATGGAATGAGAGCAGTGTCCAGCGACACACAGAAGACAAGCCTGCTGCGGAGTCCTAGCACTCGGGGTAAGTGGCCTCCCGCCGAGCCCTGGCCCGCCTACGACCTTCCGGTCCAGATGGTTTCCTGGCCAGGCCCCGTTCTGATCACGGACAGCCTGCACGTCTCCAAGCACGTGGCCCTTCCCAGAGTCCCGAGTGGCACTTGGTGTGCAGCGGGAGCTCCCCGGGTCACCCCTCCTGGTCTCTCTGCCTTGCTGTGCTCTTGTTTTCTGTATCGCTTTGGCCCATGTGTGCAGTCCCTGCTGAGGTTTCTTATCTAAGTCTGCCTCAAACTGGAGCATCAGCCCCCAGGTGAGGCCCTCTGACAAGGTGTCCACCACAGTCCGTCCAGCGCCTACACGGGGGCAGCTGTGCACAGCGAGTGTTAAGTGAACGTTGTGAAATAAACATTTTTGTGAAACATCTCTTGCATAAGCCGGGCGTGGCGGCTCACGCCTGTCATCCAGCACTCCAGAGGGAGGCTGAGGCAGGAGGATCGCTGCGAGCTCGAGACCAGCCTGGGCTGCACAGCGAGACCCTGCCTCAGAAAGACAAAAGGTAAATATCTCGTGGAAGTTTATGAAGGAAGAAAGCAAGAGAGGAAGAAGAAAAGGAAGAGAGAGAGAAGGTGGCCCAGGAACAAAAGGAGTAAAGCAGGGCGGAGAAAAAGAAATATGGGGGAAGAAGGGAGGGACTGGAGGAGAGAGGGCGAGCGGGGGACAGTGAGGAGGGCAAAGGGACGGGAGACAGCCAAGGGGAAAGGGAAGGAGGAACAGGAGGACGGGCGGGGCGGGCACGGGTGAGGCGGGGCAGGCTCTGGGCACTGCTCGGTGCCACACTGTTCTCTGGGCCACCGAGCCAGGAGAGCGCGTGCCTTACCGTTCTGGTGTGGAGGGTGGACTGGGACAGGTCGGTGCTGTTGGCTCCCGCACCCCTCTGGGTCCCCCCAAACCACCGCCTGTACTCCATCCGCACCTGGGGGTTTCAGAAAGACAGAGACCCGTGTCATCTCCAGAGATCCGTTAGGGAGAAAGGGCCTAGATGGAAGATGACAGAGAGAGAGAGAGAGAGAGAGAGAGAGAGAGAGAGAGAGAGACAGAGAGACAGACAGGAGAGAGAGACAGAGAGAGACATAGAGACAGAGAGAGACAGACAGACAGACAGGAGAGAGAGAGAGACAGACAGACAGAGAGAGAGAGACAGACAGACACAGACAGAGAGAGACAGAGAGGGACAGAGAGACAGACAGGAGAGAGAGACAGAGAGAGACATAGAGACAGAGACAGACAGACAGACAGGAGAGAGAGAGAGAGACAGACAGACAGAGAGAGAGAGACAGACAGACACAGACAGAGAGAGACAGAGAGGGACAGAGAGAGAGAGAAACAGAGTAAGCCAGCCAGGCCCTACCCTCCACTCTTGTTTCTTGGATTTTCTGTATAATATATTTTCCATTCTCATGTTGATTATTTTTATCAAAACCAACTACCTTCATTGTCAAAAAAAAAAAGGTACTCACGTCGAGCACCATCAGAACTTGGTACTGATGTGGGTGGTAAACAATACAGGAATGCAAGCAGCCACACTGATAAATCCGGACTAATCAGCTGAGCTCAGCCACCACTCGCGTGGACCCCGTTTCAGAGTCTCACCGAGTGGCCCTGAACTGGAAAATTACAAAGCTTCTAAACAGAACCACAAAGAGACACCCCGTTGCACACAATTTAGCTCGACTGTTGCATTAACTTTGGCTGACGCCTGTATCCTGCTTCTTTGTTGAGCAGGTTAAGTTTTCTCCTGGATTCAGCGCATGCTGCTTTTCTCATGGGACTCATTCCCTGAGTAATTCCCCATTTTCCTGAGTCTCATACAGGGCACGAGTTAAATGCAGGGCTCAAGGTGGCGTCAGCTATGCCAAGCTGCAGCAGTGTACGGTGATGGGGTAAAGATGGCTGTGATGCCCATGAAGATGCTGCCGGGGATGGTGGGGGTCACTTTACGTGCCACATTTTACATGAAATACAGCATTTAACCCTTACATCGACTCAGTGACGAAATCACTCTTCTTACCTCCAATTAAAGATGTAGAAATTGAGGCTCAGAAATAAAACTGATTTGTCCAAAGTCATAGAGAAACCCTCAACACCTTGCCGTTCTTACTGAAGAGCCCCAGAACTAACACTACACTGCCGTGCTCCTGATATTTTATGAATTGACTTGCTTTTAACTTTTGACACGTGAAGAATGACATTCAGATGTGTAATGATCATTATTTTTTTGGTTCTGGGAATCGAACTCAGGAGCTTGCACTTGCCAGGCAGGGCTGTGCCACTGAGCTAACTGCCCCTCACCAAGACACTGAAGCTGTACATTGCTTCTTCTGAGAGGAGTGCCCAGCGTAAAGAGGGCGCCACAAGACGGAGAGGAAATGACAGTGTTAAGATGGCCATTTGCTGTTACCATCTTACCTGCTGACTCCACTTACCAGTAAAGGAAAGTGCTAGAAAACTGCCCCAGTTTTCTGTGGAGAGCAAAGTCTGTGTGGGATTTATATTGCATGGCTACACGTGACTCTCAACGCTCGGAGAAGGCCCTGCCACCTCTGCATTTGCAAAGACGGCCTCAGAGCAGGCACCGTGCCCGAGGGTCGCACGGCCACCTACTCAGGGACGGGTCTGATTAATGCCACAGTCTCTCCAAGCCGTTGGTACACTGCGTCTCATTACAGGAGAATTCCCCCGTGAGTCCCTGGCAACTCAAGTCTGAGCACGTGATTTGCTTTAACAGAAGAAATCGGCGTCAAACCGAGCTGTTACTGCTAAGGGGAAGGATGGAGAGAGCTAAACGGTACTGCGTGATGACCTGCTCTCTCTTTGCCAGTGAGGTCCCTGGCATTTTATTTATTTTTTGCAATCCTAACTTTTTATTGATTCATGTTTGCAGTACATAATAATCACACCCCTCACGGGTCCGTGCATGTAGCACGTGCCAATTCCGTTTCTCAGCCCTTTCCCCTTCCTCTGTTGTTTGGTCCGCTTTCCTTTTGCAAAAGGTCTGTCTCCCTGTTTCCTGTTGCTGTGCTTTATTTAGCTACCTTTGTCTATAGCTTGGATTTCTCAGATAAGAGAGACCAGCTGATACCTAAGCTTGTGTGTGACTCAGCATCCTGATCTCAAGGTGCCTCCATTTTCCTACAAAGAATGCGTTTATCCTTTTTATGACAGAGTAGTACTCCCTCGTGCATAAATCCCACACTCTCCTTATCCATTCATCTGTTGAGGGACCCATACACTGCTGCCGAGATTTAGCTGTTAGGAATTGTGCTGATCCACATAGGGATGTGGACAGGTCACTGTAATATGATGTCTGTGGCTCTTTTGAGAGTGTTCCTAGGTGAGGAATGTTGGGATGGGAGGCTACACCTTCAGCCTGAATCCCTGAGTGAACACAGTGTCAATCAGAGCACAGTTAGTAGTACGAGCTATTAAAAAAAACCCATTTATTGTAAGCCACAGAGCCGGGAGGGAAGGATGTTTGTTAACGCACCATATCTGCCTTGTATTACGGATCCATGCTCTTGTCAACAGTCCTGGCTGTTTACCAGGGACCGTTGCACTGAGTCACACCCCTCCCTGTTTACGATGCAGAGCCTCCCTGAGTTGTTCAGCCTGGGCTCAAATTAGCTGTCCTCCTGCCTCAGCCTCCCAGAGTCCTGGGATGACAGGTGTGCGCCACCGTGCCATCTCAATACATGCTCTTAAGAGGCAGGTTGAGCTCTGCGCAGAGGACATAGCATGACCTAGTAATTCCTGAGCACTCTCCTCAAACGGAAGACACCCCAGCTATGAATACAGAAGGCCAAGGAGGGGCCAGAATGCGAGCGGCCGTCCAGGGAGGCTCTGGGAAGGGCGGTGAGAGAAGGGACAGCGGGTCTTACCTGGCGATTAAGCAGACAGTGCACCACAAAGAGCAGAACGCCCTGCAGGACGTTGACGATGGTGAAGAGGTAGGCCACGACGGATTCAACCGTCTCCCCTGCTCCTCCCGCCAGGAAGAATCCGAGGCCCCAAGAACAGCCCAGCACGAAGAACTGAGCGATGGCTTTGAATGTCATGACTCTGGGAAAAGAGAGCCGCCACGAGTTAGGACCAGCGCTAAGGGGTGATTTTCCTGTGTCCCCCTCCTTGACCAGCACACCGAGGGAGCCGGGGGAGCGGACACGGATCAGGTGTGTGGGCTGAGGCAAGGCCGGCCCGAGCACACAGGGAGCCCCAAACAAGCCAGCTCCAAACGGGCACGGGGCCGAGGCCAGCAGGCACGCCGGCCGCCAGCAGGCGGGGAATTACCCTTCTCCCCGGCAGTTTCTGGGAGTATAAATAAGCCGGCCAGCGTGGAGCAGCTCCTGCTCTCCCGTCAGGACAGCGAGGGCCCCGATGGCCCAGCTGTCGCCTCTTCTGTGTTTCTGCATCCGTCAGGGTCCTTCATCCCGAGAACAGCAGCTGCGTGGTTGAGGCAGCACCCCAACGTCGTGATGGTCACACAGCCGAAGATGAGGCGGACCCAGGCTGTCCATCCCTGCGGCCGAGCGTGATTGTTCCAAGAACCACCCCTAGAAGTGATGTCTCTGCCACGTCTTCTGCCTTGATTTGTTGGAAGATGTGTCGACGATGCCTTCAGAAATTTGTGTATTGCTTTGAAGCCTTATAATATTTTCATTCATTGATTGCAATGGTTTTATTCTGGGTTGTTTGATTTTATTGTCTGTGATGGTATGAACAGCTATTTTGAAGAAAACAACACATCATAATAGCTAGTGCTGATTTAATACCATCTTGTTTTGAAGTCCCATCAAGCTTTTGTTCTTCTGTCTCCATCGGTTTAGCATGTTGTATCTTACCGGATTTTATTATATGTGATAATATAAACAAAAATTTTTACAGACAAGGAAATAATATAGAAACCATTGTTCATTTTCTGTTAGTTGGTTCTAAATACCCTGTAATACTTTGATTCTCTTGAATAGTTTTACACTGTCATGTTGTGTTTGATGCTATAATATAGAAAGTTACACTCAAATATTTCAAGGAAAGAGACTGTGGTAGCTACTGTTATGTCGGGTTATCTTGTGGTGAAACACTATGTTGCTTAAATTGTTCTGTTCTGATGTGTTATTATGTTGTTGTGTCCTCCAATCTCCTTCTTTCTTTTAATTTTTTGAATAAAAAATAAATTAAAAAAAAAGAAATTTGTGCTGTAAAATTGGAATGGTGGTGGTTTTGTGACTTCAGAATACAGCAGCATTGGGGTTCTCTGAACAGAAAAATCACAGCGTGGCTGTGGATGGTTGTTATCTGGGAGAGATGATGCGTGTGAGTGAGTGTGTGTGTGAGTGTGTGTGTGTGTGTGTGTGTTCGTGAACCCTCACTTCCACACTTTATGTGTAGGGAGATGGGGACTCTGACCTCCCAGGGGAAGGGAATTGAGGACACGTGATGTTAGATCGTCTGATAACTAAGTGAAAGTCCGACCCAGACTCAGAGTCAAGATGGGCACATATGCCTTTAATGTTTACCTATACAAGTAACCAGTACAAGACACTCGTCCATCTTGGCTAAGACCAGCCTTGAGTTAATCCATATTTTCAATATACATAGAGCCCTACATGCCGTAGGGTGGATCTATATTTCACACAGTAATACTTGTCAGGGCTTAGCACCCTCAGTTCTGTAATTACTGTTAGAGGTCATTATTGTTCTAAACATTTTAAATTGACACCCATGAGAATCTAGTTTCTATTATCAAGAAAAGTGGAGTCCAGAAGTTGTAAGTCTCCAAGATGAAAGGTCAGTGTTGATATTTCCGATATTAATGTCCCATAAAGAGAATGGTATACAGAGGAGATATTCAATAGTCTTCTTTCTCTTTTTCTTTCTTTTGTTTTTTTGGTCTTTTTGAGACAGATTTTCACTGTGCAGTGCAGGCTGAACTTGAGCTCACTTTGTAGCCCAGGCTGGCCTTGAACTCACCGCAATCCTCCTGCCTCAGCCTCCCCGTGCTGGGATGACAGCTGTGCACCATCACACCTGACAATACATTTTTCTTAAATGAAGAAATAAGGAGGCCCCAAGTTACCTGAAATTCATAGTTGTCTTTCTTCTGTAATTTGTTCCCTTGATGCTCTTTAGCATCAGGAGAGTTTATACCTTCTTCGCCCCGTGGTGCTGAGAAATAAACCAGGACCTCACACACGCTAGGCAAGCACCTTACCACGGAGCTACATCCTATCCTGGACCATATTTTTGTCTAGGAGTTTTCTTTACCACGAAGCATGGTCCCATAGGACAAATCCGTCAGTGTCACTGCTTCTGGTACCTTCTTACCTGGTGTCCTGAATGGTGGAGACTTCTTTATTGAGGGAGGAAAGTTTGCTTCTCAAAACCCACAGAATTTGGAAATAGAACACAAAGTTTATCTGTGGAAACAACATGAAAAAATGGCTCAGAAAAACAGGAAAACATATCAGTCATTAAGGCCCTCGTTAAGTTTTTATCGAATGCGTGAGTGAACGCAGGGCTGTCAGAGGATTCCCAGCAGGGGTTTGCACACTCGCACAGCAACTGGTGGCATCGGCTGCGTTTCCTTAGTTCATGACAGCTCGACTTTGCCGGCTGAGAGTGCAGCTCCCATGCCGGGCACCACGGGCAGCACCTGCAGAAGCAACCGTCACTTACCAAGATGATGGCTGCGACGGGCCCCAGGAAGCTCCAGATGAACCCTCTGTCCACCGTGAGCCAGCAGCTGCGGAGAGGAAGGCAACACTCACCGTCTTTCCCTCCGGGAGGAGGACGGTGGGCCAAGATCTGAAGGTGTTTGCTCAGCGTGTGGATTGTGAGCGGCTCCGCCTCTGACACGAGCAGGCTGTTCTTTGCCTCAGTTTCCCAAAGTGTGAGGTGAGGCTAAGTGTGCAAAGATTAAAGTGGGTGCTGGAGCATTATGTTAGATCTTGGAGTTATGTACTGCAGTGCCAGTCTTTTGAGCTTTGTTGTCCTCAGTGTGTTCCGTCTCTTCAGATTCTTTTGTTTCCTCTATGGAATCATTTCTTCAATAAACCACAAAATGACTCTCTGGGATTTGGACTGGGGAGGTGTCACATGTATAGGAACTAACATCCTGACATTATTGAATCTGCTCATCCAGGAAAATGTAGTATCTCCCCATTGGATGTGTGTGGTTTTCCTCATATAGAACTTTAGCAGTGATTGAATGAGACCATATATATAAAGCTTTTTGGGACACTTCTGGTCAAAGAATTAAACCTCAGTAAAGTAGTCATCATAGTGATGAACATGATTGCTATCATCAGAAATAGCATAAAAACAATGATTTAACAACATAAAATGCTTATTAAGGATATTAATAACGGACACAGTACCCCGCCACTCAAACCCTTTAAATTCTACCATCTGTTACTGTCAAAGGCAATATAACTCATTCTCAAAGGCAATGAACCTGGCAGTATCAATCTGAGAAAAAAATAAAGGTGAGCCATGGCCAACATTCAGGGGGGTGAAAAGGTCCCCCAGGTAAATCCATCCCTTGTTTGCAAAAATAAAGTTTTATTGAAACTCAGCTGCACACAGGCGTTCACAGGCTGTCAGTGTTTTCTTTCCCACGCTGACGGTGACATGGAGGCCACGCGGCCTGCACAGCCCCCAGCGGTTACAATCTGACCCTTTATAAAACCTGCCAGCTCGTTATCTTCCTAGTCATGCAATCTCAGGGATCTTTCTGGCAGCTCACAGGGTCCAGCCAGAGCTTGGCTTTCTGCTGAACTTCAAGAGGTGCAAGATTATGGCTGAGGCCTTAGCACGTGCGCTGCCACCAAGCTCGAGCTTCTTATCCTGACCCCTGAGGCCGGAGCTTTGCCAACTTCTCTAGGTAGGCAGTGGAACCTGGAGGTGAGTCCTGGCTCAGCCACTCCCAGCTGCACACTGTGCGTGTGCGTACTAACCAGAGGGCTGCCTGGGGAACTTTGCTTCCTCTCTTTTGAACTCGGACCTTGGAGAAGTGCCGTAGATGCCGTGCACCAGCCCAGCATGTCTTGTGCATGATGTGACAAACCGCCGCCCCGATGGGCTCCGGGTGAGGGTGGCGGGAGCCGCTTGACACACCAAGCACTATTCTGGGTCACAGCAGGCTCTTACAGTTATGATCGTTACTGTTATGCTCTGGGCCCCAAAATAGTCCACATCCTCCTTCAGAATCCTGCAGAACCCGAATCCCACAACTTCTTAAAGTGGGGCCGTGGATTTACTCCACCCGCCCCTGAATTTCCTGAAGATTTATTTAAAATGTGTGCTATATTTGTCTAAGGGAAAGACCTCTGATTTTCACCAAAATCGACTCCCTGAAAGCAGTTAACTGTCATGTCATCATGCTAGAGATCTCCGAAAGGAGACAGTATTCTGGCTTCCAGAAGGACTGGCTTACAGCCGATTCGCAGTCAGAACAGAAACTTTAAGAGGTGCATTTTGATTTTGAAGCAGGCGTTGGCTGCAGACACGACTCCCCCCTCCACACGCAGCTGCTTACTGAGTGCTCGTGCCGTAATGTTGGTGTCCGGCTGCTGCGCACACGGTGACGACGGCCGCGGGGAGGCCGTAGCCCAGGGGGTACATGAATCTCTTCTTGAGTCTGTGTGCGCTGGTGTAGTTGGCCACCCGGAGGTTCCTGACGGTGAGGAAGAGATGCAGCCCCTCCAGGAGCGACCAGGAGAAGGTGGCCAGGTAGAGGAAATGGAGCAGCCCAGCAATGATGGAGCACAGCGTCTGCAAGCAGGAGAGAGAGAGAGAGAGAGAGAGAGAGAGAGAGAGAGAGAGAGAGAGAGAGAGAGAGAGAGGAGGAGATGCAGCATGTGCCTCTGGACATTCCCGGATGTGGATACCAGTAACATTTTGACTAAGAGAGATGCATTTTCTGGAAGCTTCTGCCAGCTACTGAAACTGTTTGTCCCACTAGAACAGGACAGAAATGTTAAGGGCAAAATGTCCTTGGAGCGGACATCGGATGCACACTGAGTGACTCCTTGTCACTGTTCTTTGAGTCTGAGGATTTTATGGTCCATGCCGCAAGGCGTATCCTGCAGGGCTTTGATGGGATTAAATTCCTGGTGCCCAGAGTGCACATTTATTTGAAAACAATTTATTGACTGTTTTCCGTCTCTGCCCTGGATGGCCGTCCCAGATGAGTGTACCCTTGACCGGTCCTGAGCAATCGTGTCACACGCGTGGCTGTCCAGTGTGTCTATAGGATGAATGAATCCACGGGGAGCACCAGCCACCACCCACCAGCGCTGCCTCAGTACTGATAAATGTGCTTCAGGGACTAACAGGTCACTTTCCACAGGCGGGAACACGTGCCGGGAGTGAGTGGCCTACTACCAACACAAACACCAGCAAATTAAATTTGGAAATGTGCATCTACTTTTGATCCATACGCACCTCAAGCACCAAATTTTGAAAGAACTTACACTAGGTGACTTGCATGCAGATCTTTCAGGGGCAGGTACCCACACTGTCCACCCGAGGAGGCCATCATCCCTTTTTGTTGAACGCTTATCATTTTTGTTCAGAAAAAGCCCCGGAACCCATGATGACCACGAGAAGTGAAACATGGAACCAAATTAAATTCTAGAGCTAAAAATATATATGCAGTCACTGGGATGAAAAACACATTGAGTGGGATTAAAGGTAGATTAGGCCCTGAGGAAGAAATGCCGGGCCTGGGTCTATCTCAGCGGCACAGTGCGAGGTCCTGAGGTCCATTTCCTGTACCAAAAAACAACAAAAAAAAGAAAATATTATGGAACTTAAAGATATAGGAGTAGAACTGTGTAAAAAGAGGCATGCCAAGGAAAGGTGCTTAAAGACTGAATAATGTCAGTGACTTTTGGAACAGCAGAAACAGATCAATACCTGTCGTTAGGAAAACAGGAAAAATGTATTTGGAGAGATTATGGCTGGAGTTTTTCTCAATTTGAATTCTTTAAAGTCTCAGCCCCAATTATTGTTCAAAGACGTCAAATCAACAGGACAGACGCATGCAGACAGATTAGGAAGATTATTTTATGGGATTTTTCAGGGTCTGAATCAGTAGGAAACGGCACATTTACGAAATACAAGTCAGACTTGCAGGGTGCAGACGAAGCAGCGGTCAGACCTGAGGCTTGAGGCAAGACTGCTTCTTCCAAAGGGAAACTCAGTTCCGTTTCTCCTCAGACCTTGAAATGCCCGGCTGAATTGCACCCGCTTTCCAGAGGGCTGTCTGCACCCATAAACCAACTGGTGGTAGAGTTTAAAACACTGTCACGGCGATACTCAGACGCATCAAACTATCCTTCGCACCCAGCAAAAGAAGGAGGGCACCTCTGGGGCACTTGTCGGAAACCGGGTGCACCTTGAGGCCGTAATGCTGCGCAAAACAAAGAGGCTAAAACCACGTGTGTCTTTCGTGGGAGAATCCCATGACGAGTAGTTAAGGAGCAAAGTAGCAGACAGATGTTAGGAACAATTCGTAGCAATAAACTCAGATACCTATATCTATATTTATGTATCTCACATGTAAGTAGACACACTGAGTAACACAAGGTCAAATTAAACCAACAGGAATCAGGAGAATACAATCAACATAAAAGAGTAAAACATCAACGAAATATAAAAGAGAAAAGCAATAGAAAAAAATAGCGAAACCATCAGCTGAGTTTTAATAAAATGGATAAAACTCTAGCTATACTGAGGCAGACAGCGAAGACACAGGAATATAAACAGTTAGAGGTGACACTACTTCAGCTTCTAGATAGATACAAACAATGAGGAATGTTACAATTTTCCACAAATGTGTTTGACACTTAGAAGACTTTGACAAAGTCATTAAAGGATACAAAATACCCATTTACCCAAGAGGAAACAGGTGTCTGAAACAACCTTCTATTTACCGAGAGGTTGGTTTAAAATCATCCAATAATCAGAAATAAAGTACAGTTAGCATTCAACCCTGCGACCCAGGCCTGGAGAGATCCCAAGATTGACAGCAAATGTTAAAACAAAATTTGAGCGAATATTCTTAGCAGCTTTGCAAAAGGCAAATGATAGAAACAAAATACGCTATACCGCTACACTAGCATATTACTTGTCAACAAAAATGGAATAAAGTCTTAAAACACCTTGGAAAGAAACATCATGGTGAGGGAGAGAAGCCAGGCACAAGAGGCCGCCTGTGCTGCAATTCTGCTTCTAGGGAACATGGAGGGCAGGCAGCCCCAGGCGCCAACAGCAGGTTTGCAGCAGCCCGAGGCTGGGGAGGAGACAGGAGAACCTCCGCCATGGGGGTGGCACCTGGGACAAGGTAGCAGTGACCATTGCACGGCAGTGTGAAAACACTGAACGCTCCTGAAGTGCACGTTCTAAAATGGATACACTATACATTTAATTGTTAGATAAGCCAGACACACAAGCTTAAATACCACAAGGCTTCTCTTAAATGAGAAAACCAAAATATAAATACACAGCAGCAAAAGACATAGATTGCTGGGCGTGATGGTGGGTGCCTGTAATCCCAGCACTCAGGAGGCCGAGGCAGGAGGATCGCTGCAAGTTTGAGGCCAGCCTGGGCTACAAAGTGAGACCCTGTCTCAAAAACACACAAACACACCAACAAGCAAACAGTGCATAACAGGAGACAGGAAATAGCTCTTTTGCAAATGCCAAGGAGACAGAGTTGGAGCGGGGGAGTGAATGGGGAGGAGCGGATGAAAAACTCTGTGAGACTTCCAACATGCGTTAATTTAAAAACCTGAAAAAATACACATTTGCATAGTGAACTACATCACACCTAAAATGAATAATACACCATGTGGTTAATAAAATGTTTTGATGGCAAGGGGCATTTTACCATGAACAAACAGGTAAAGGGAAACTTAATTTTGATTTGCTGTTTGATTTCTGTTTTCATTTTGCTGGGGGATTTGAACCCAGGACGTCAGACTCCAGGCAAGGACTCTACCACTGAGCTCAGGAGACAAATTCCAAGTCTGATAAGCGGTGTAAGTTCTGACATCTCAGATCTGACAAATATCCTTTAGTGGGTGGAAGCCTCAATACTGGACCTGAATAATAATTCCAAATAATTTATTTTGCAAACCCTTACTTCAGGAGGACTCACGTATTTTGCATTTGGCGACTTTCTCCTTTCACCTTCTGATGGCTGATTTCACGTCCACGTGCTGATCTCAGTCTAGCAGTTGTGTTCAGACGTTAATCTCAATGTGTGTGAGCCTGAGTGTGAGTGTGAGGGTGTCCAGCGTGCGTTCTGGGAAGGGACCCACACTTGAATAGGCGCAGTGGGGGCCTGCCAGTTAGCAGAAGGCCTAGGTGGAGCAGCAGTGAGCTGGAGGGCCATCTGCCCCACTGAGTCTGCAGGGCACAGCCGTAAGCATGGCTGCCCCAGGGCCCCCCAGGCCCTGACCTGCTCTGTGATCCACCAGCAGCCTCTTCTCCAGATCCAGCTCCTGCTGGACCGGTTTCTCCGGAAAACTTTAACTAACACAAAGTTGATCACCAAGCCCAGCAGTCTGACCTGCCCGCCGGGAGAGTTTGACCACCAGCCCACCACTGTCTCTCCTGGGCTTCCCGGAACCTGCCAGACCACGGATCCTCCTAACACTGCTCGTCCCCGAGCCTACTGTAGGCCTCCCTTCCCAGTCTTGCAGGGCTGGTCTTCCACGAGCCCCGGCTGCAGTCCAGCTTTATTAGTCTGAGCACATCAATTCCCGCGTCCTGAACATCTTCCTGCAGAGTGTGCTTCTCTCCCTGTCTCGCCCCAGGCGCTCCCGGGCCTGGAAGGGTTATTTCCAGCTGAGAGTTTATGCCTCAGCCCCAGTGTCTGACCAGCACATCTCACTCACAAGGATAAGCCTGACTTCATTGTCTTTTCCTTTTAAATTTTTATTTCTGAAAAGCCTCCTAATTATATATATTCATGGGGTGCAAAAGAATTTTCCTTTTCCAGAGCTGGGAATGGAGTCCAGGACCTCACAGGTCCAGCAGACCCTGTAGCACTGAGTTACGTGTTAGGCCAAATCTGATGCGGAGATCCGTATATAAAATGATACCTGTTATCATGACTGAGCTGAGTAATCAGCACAACTATCACCTTACAAGGTTCTCACGTCCTTGTGGGAAAACTCTGAACATTCACTCTTCTGTCTGTTTTGGAATAGATATTTTTGTGTGTGTGTGTGTGTGTGTGTGGTAGCGGGGATCGAACTCAAGACTATGTACTTGCAAGGCAGGCGCTTACGCCACTGAGCTAAATCCCTGGCTCTGGAATAAATATTGATGTTACCTGCAGTCACCCTGCTGTGCAAAGGTCCTGTGGTCTGACCATAACATCACATCCTAAGACCATTTCTTTTTCCTCTAGGTTGATTAATGCAATCATCAACCTTCGACCCAACCCTTCAAACCAGAAGCCCTCAGAGACAATTGTCTTTCTGGTTTACCTCAAAACACATCCCAGCCATTTGGGGCCCTTCTCATCAGCTCCACCTTATGTTTTCCGAGGTGACCACCTCCTCCTTTGATTCGTATTTTCATTAACTCTTACCCAGCCACTGTTCAGTTTTTTCTCCGCACAGTTGACTGCCTGTTTTAGTGTCCTAAAAGTGTTTTATGTCATATCCACCTCGAAGCCCGTGACTGGGCCCTCACTTCCCTAAAGAATGATGATCCTGAGGCTTTGGGCCAGCTCGGACCCACGGTTTGTCTTAGTACACACAGTTTGACGGGCACTTAGCCACGCTGCCTTGGTCATGGTCACCTTTTCTATTTGGGCTTTTATAGAAGTTGCCTAACTAGCATTTAAAATCTAATTTTGCATTCTGGCTCCAGGACCACCCTCATCTACTCCCCCCCATTCTGCCTTCTTGCCAGAAATGAGTTTTATGTGGCATGCAAATTCAAACCAGCTTAGGCATAGCTTCGTAGGATACTTCCTTGAGAAGGATTGAAAGATTTATTGAGATAGAGAAATTCCACCACAGGTGACTGCTGACCGCAGTGCTTATGGGAATCTCAGAGGGCCAGAAAATGCAGCTTCTCTGAAACAGGGAATGAACAAAAACACAAATATGGAAAGGCCAACTGAAGGAGAAGGGCGCCTGATGATTCCAGGATCAGGTGCTTGGAAAGGGAAGCTGGGCCACCCAGATCTCGGCCCTGTTTATGCTCCGCGTCCAGTGAACCCACGTTTCGGGAGATGATCTGACAGTCGGGGAATGAGCTTCAGAGCAACAGCTGAGCCGCTGTGGTTGGCACCCACCTGGCAACCGCCCCGCACGCGTACAGGGCCCGCCTGTCCTGTCCCCCTCCTCACCGGGACGGGCAGCCCGGCCAGTGACATACGCACAGGTCAGGGCAACTGGAAGCCAGGAAGTGGCCGAGTCCAGGAGGACGGGCCCTCTGGAAAGAAGACGCACACAGCCACGGTTAGAGACCAGCACACTGGATAGAGACGAGCTGGCCCGGGAGTCTCGGGGCGGAGGGGACTGATCCAGGCCAGGAGGAAGACACAGCGGGAGCAGCACCTAAGTTTGCCCGAGAGAAATCCAGCCTGCCACCCACTCTGGACAGACACGACTTCTGGTCAGCGTGGGCAGGAGCTGGAAGGCCAGCGGAGCTAGAGGAGGCTGCCTGGTGACCTCATCACAGCGGTACAGAAGGAGCAGGGGCTGCGCAGGTGCCTGAGCGACAAAGCTCAGCTAACGCCGAGAGCACGTCCCACCGAACGCACAGCAAATGCAGAGATCTCCCAGCAGGGTCAGCTGAAGATCTGCTCTAGCTGATGCTCAACCTTCGGAAAGCCAAGCAATGAGAAAATACTTAACTTGGGGCTGGGGAGACAGCTCAGCAGCTAAGTGTCTGCCTGGCAAGTGTGAGGTCCTGAGTTTGATTCCAGATATAAACAAACAAACAAACAAACTGAACTCCTCAAAAGCTTATCTCATGGATAATAAACTAGAGAAAATAAAAATCTAGATGGTTAAAAATGTTTGAACAGGCCAAGGATCAAGCAAACAGATAAACAAATACCTATAAGATGTTTTGCAAGTTTAAAGAAGTAAATAATCAAGTAAAGGATTTAATTAATAAAATGGTTAATTTTCTGGGCGCGGTGGCTCACGCCTGGCATCCAGCACTCGGGAGGCTGAGGCAGGAGGATCCTTGTGAGTCTGAGACCAGCCTGGGCTGCAAAGTGAGCTCAAGGCAGCCTGAGCTGCACAGGGAGACCCCGCCTCAGAAAGACAACAACTACACAAAAGGCTTGTTCCACGTGGTTTGCTACATTAGTGTTTCTGTTAGGTCACTGCTTTGATTCCGTGCCCCACACCCTCTCTCACACTTCATTTAAATTTCTTCTCCCTCCTCTTTTCTGTGTTGCTCCCTCTCACACAATCTCAACTCTGACCCTTTATTTTCTGCTGTATGAATACTGTCTACCCTTTTCTTTGTCCTCCAGGATATATTTGTGGGGCGTGTGGTGTACATACAACGGTGTGAGTACTCACTGCTGCTTTTCTTGACGTAATTTCTTGCACTGACCTGTCAGGTTTTCCCTCTCAGAGTTTGTTGTCTCTTGCGTCTTTAAGCATTGCAGGTTTGCTACTTACTTTATTAGTGACATACAAAATATTCTGTGTGTCAGGCATCGTGGTTCACGCCTGTCATCCCAGCACAGGGGAGGCTGAGGAAGCAGGACTTCTGTGAGCTCAAGGCCAGCCCAGGCTACGTGGTGAGTTCACGGCAGCGTGAACTGCACAGTGAAACCCTGGCGCAACCACCCAACCAACCAACCAAATCACAGAACGAGTAAAGACCTTCCAGGATAAGGATAAACTATGGAAACAATGACCACCGAGCCAGCATGCAGAGCCAGCACTGTCTCCCAGACAGAGATGGAGAAGACAACGCGGCCTAAACGCCCAAAGGAAAGAATACGCCTAACTGGCAGAGTGCTTACATAGCAGGACGTGGAAAGGAACAGAAATCAGCACGTGCCGATGTTGGTCTGCTTCCTTATCAATGGGCGCAGTATTTAACACCCAAAACTTAACGGAAGAGAGCGTTCATTTAGCTCATGATTTTAGCACACTCAGTCCGCAGTCAGCTGACTCCAGGGCAGACACGTCATGGCAGAAACGGATGGAAAACAGAGGATTAGCTGCTGGGAAGCAGGGCCGGCCAGAAATAGGGCAGGGACCACACAGGGTCCCCAAGCGAGGCCGCACAGCCACCCAGAGTGTGCGCTGCCACAGTCACTCTGAGTCTCTGCAAAGGCTCAAGACAAAATTATCTCAAGACAGATTATCTTCCAGAGCACACGTCTGATCTCTGTTGTTACTGCAAATGGAATCTGAGCTTGGACTTTACTGAAATTATGTCAGCTAAATCAAGAGAATTATAACAAACTAATTTGAAAACACATATTCCAATAAATTGGAGAGTCTGAGAAAAAGTGTATAAACTCCTAGAAACATGATTTACCAAAATCAAACAAAGAAGATAGGAAACCTCACAACACAGACCGAAAACAAGCCATGAAATTAACGCCATGATCAAAACTTAGTCAATGAAGAGATACTCAGAATTTCACTAAAGTTCTAGAAAAGAACTAAAACTTACACTCCTCAAATTTTTCTATGTTATCAAAACAGAAGGAATTCTTACAGGCTCATTCCATGAAGCCAGAATTTCCCTGATATCAGAACCAGATAAGACAATGCAGCGGAAAGCTACACCCCAATATCCTTGTTGAACATAAATGCAAAAATCCTTCATATGATACTTGCAAAATGACTTAACAAATTATTAAGGTAATACACCAAACCAAGTTAGCTTCACTCCAGAGGTGCAGGCATGGTACAACATGTGAACATCAATAAACATGCCACACTGGAATGGCTATCATGAAGAATACCACAAACAACAAATGCTGGCGAGGATGTGAGGAACAAGGAACCCTTCTGTACTATTGTTGGGAATGTAAACTATTACAGAAATTATGGAAATCAATATGGAGAGAGCTCAAAAACTTAAAGCAGAAATTTCATTTAATCCATCCAGGACTCTTCTGGCTATATTCCTGAAAGAGTTAAAAACATTATAATACAATGAAACAGGCATACCTATATTTATACTAGCAAAAATTCACAGTAGCTGAGTACCTGACACAGTCTAAATCCTCGCCAATAGAGAAATGGATGGAAAAGTGTGGTATGTACACATAAGGGAATATTACGCAGCAACAAAAATGAAATCATGTCCTTTGCAGAAATCTGGATGGGACTTCAGGTCACAATGTTACATGAAATATGTCAGGTACAGAAAATTAAACATTTCATGTTTATCTTACATGAGATTCCTAAACAACTAATAAATACATGGCTAAAATGGTTAAAATAAAGGAGGGAGGGAGAAAAGACGGCAGACTTTAGAGAGGTGAAGAAAGAGATCGGGAAGGAGGGCAGTAAGAGCAGAGGGACAGTGTGACACAACGATCCAGTCCTGTTCTACACACGTATCAGGTCGCCCGGATGTTTGTCTCCCTCTAACAAAGGGTCAGGAGGAAAGTAACACTGCGAAGACCCTGCAGAGTCTGCTGGTTAAGAGCTCTTTCTTTCCCTCCCACCATCCCCGCCGGGTAAAGGCTTCCTCCTAGTCTCTTCTTAGACTGAGATGGCCCGATCTGACTAGCACAAGGACCCACCTTAGGCTCGGTCCTCTGGATGCCGCTGAGGAAGAGGAGGTGGGCCAGCAGGAGGCAGACGGCCAGGTGCAGGTGCAGGGTGGTGGACGTGTTCCGGATGGGCCGGCACAGCAGGAAGGTGAGGGCGGCCAGCAGGAGGCAGAGCACGGAGAGGCTCAGCCCCACCTGGGTGACCACGCTCAGCACCGGGTCGTCCTGCAACCACCAGGGGGAGGACCGTCACACAGCTGCCAGCTCTGTGTCCCGTTCCTAAGGGACGGCCAGGCACGCTTACTCCTACCCAAACCTGGGTCCTCCCACCCTATCCCTGGTCCTCCCACCCTAACCCTGGTCCTCCCTACCTAACCCTGGTCCTCCCACCCTAACCCTGATCCTCCCACCCTAACACTGGTCCTCCCACCCTAACCCTGGTCCTCCCACCCTAGCCCTGGTCCTCTCACCCTAACACTGGCCCTCCCACCCTGACCCTGGTCCTCCCACCTTAACCCTGGTCCTCCCACCTTAACCCTGGTCCTCCCACACTAACCTGATCCTCCCACCCTAACCCTGGTCCTCCCACCCTGACCTGGTCCTCCCACCCTAACCCTGGTCCTCCCACCCTGACCCTGGTCCTCCCACCTTAACCCTGGTCCTCCCACCTTAACTCTGGTCCTCCCACACTAACCTGATCCTCCCACCCTAAGCCTAGTCCTCCCACCCTAACCCTGGTCCTCCCACCCTGACCCTGGTCCTCTCACCCTAACCCTGGTCCTCCCACCTTAACCCTGGTCCTCCCACCTTAACCCTGGTCCTCCCACACTAACCTGGTCCTCCCACCCTAACCTGGTCCTCCCACCCTAACCCTGGTCCTCCCACCCTAACCCTGGTCCTCTCACCCTAACCCTGGTCCTCCCACCTTAACCCTGGTCCTCCCACCTTAACCCTGGTCCTCCCACACTAACCTGGTCCTCCCACCCTAACCTGGTCCTCCCACCCTAACCCTGGTCCTCCCACCTTAACCCTGGTCCTCCCACCTTAACCCTGGTCCTCCCACACTAACCTGGTCCTCCCACCTTAACCCTGGTCCTCCCACACTAACCTGGTCCTCCCACACTAACCTGGTCCTCCCACCCTAACCTGGTCCTCCCACCCTAACCCTGGTCCTCCCACCCTAACCCTGGTCCTCTCACCCTAACCCTGGTCCTCCCACCTTAACCCTGGTCCTCCCACACTAACCTGATCCTCCCACCCTAACCCTGGTCCTCCCACCCTAACCCTGGTCCTCCCACCCTAACCCTGGTCCTCCCACCCTAACCCTGGTCCTCCCACCTTAACCCTGGTCCTCCCACACTAACCTGATCCTCCCACCCTAACCCTGGTCCTCCCACCCTAACCCTGGTCCTCCCACCCTAACCCTGGTCCTCTCACCCTAACACTGGCCCTCCCACCCTGACCCTGGTCCTCCCACCCTAACCTGGTCCTCCCACCCTAACCTGGTCCTCCCACCCTAACCCTGGTCCTCCTGCCCTAACCCTGGTCCTCCCACCCTAACCCTGGTCCTCCCACCCTAACCCTGGTCCTTCTGCCCTAACCCTGGTCCTCCCACCCTAACACTGGCCCTCCCACCCTGACCCTGGTCCTCCCACCCTGACCCTGGTCCTCCCACCCTAACCCTGGTCCTCCCTACCTAACCCTGGTCCTCCCTACCTAACCCTGGTCCTCCCACCCTAACCCTGATCCTCCCACCCTAACACTGGTCCTCCCACCCTAACCCTGGTCCTCCCACCCTAACCCTGATCCTCCCACCCTAACACTGGTCCTCCCACCCTAACCCTGGTCCTCCCACCCTAACCCTGGTCCTCCCACCCTATCCCTGGTCCTCCCACCCTAACCCTGGTCCTCCCACCCTAACCCTGATCCTCCCACCCTAACACTGGTCCTCCCACCCTAACCCTGGTCCTCCCACCCTGACCCTGGTCCTCCCACCCTAACCCTGGTCCTCCCACCCTAACCCTGGTCCTCCTGCCCTAACCCTGGTCTCTAGGTCTGTGTTTTCCTCTGCAGGGTGGCCAGAGATTTAGTAACCCTGACAACTTTGAAAAAAAACTACTAGAGAGAAGCTTTCCAGTGGAAATAGTGGGTTCAGGAAACTTGTGTTCATTCTAACACTTTTTTTTTAAGAGTAGGAATTTTTTTTGGGGTGTAAGAATAGAGAATGGCAATTCTGAGAGACAGGAGGGGTCCCAGATGGCTTGCCCCAATTTAACACTTTCCAATAGGTAAATTAAAAAATAGAGCAGGTAAAATTTATTTAATCATATATTCTTCTTAACCTGAGAGTCTCAAAATATTACTGATTCCATGACTTATCAGTGTAAATGGGAACAATTATTAGTTGAAAATTTGGTAATTTTTTATATTAGGTCTTTGACATTTATGTGTCTGCTACCTTTACAACACATTTAAATTCCTACACTGTAAAGATATCCAAGGATGAAGTAGCCTTGGACAGAAAAATACTTCACATTGCTTCGGTTTGTAAATTTAAAATGACTGAAAATGAAATAACATTAAACATACAAATCTTCAGTCACACTTGGCTAAATTTTAAGTGTGAATAACAATTCATCGGCACAGCATCCAAACTTAATCTCCATGAAAACTGAGCTCTTTATTTTTTTGAAAACCGAGCTCTTGAAACATATCTTGCTCCCCATTGCATGTTTAACGTCTAGAACAGTGCCTGGCACATGATAGCCACCGAGTAAATATTTTTGACTGACTAAAATGAGACCATGTCTCCAAAGTATAGAACAAATTGGTTGTCGTCTGGTTAAATATTTAATAAATCAAAGGTTAAAAAATAGGAAGAGTTAAGGGAAATTCTTTCAATCTGAGTCAACCTAGTATTAGTTGGGACCTAGGAAGTCCAGAGAGCTACAATGGTTTAGATCTAGAATTCTCACACATTCAGAGGAGGGACCTTTGGAAGGCAGTCAGCTCACAGGGACTGTCGTCACCAGTGGATTGATCCAGGGGTGAGTTCAGGGGCTTCGGGTGCTAACTGGAGGTGCCTGGGGGGATAACCAAAGGTCCCGTCCCTTCCTTTACCCTTCCACTTCCCATCTGCCAAAAACCAAGTCTTCCTCCACAGTGGGCCCTTCCTTCCACCGTCCTGTGTCTGCATGTGAGCCACCAACCTTGGACTGGGCCTGCTGACATCGTAAGCCAGAGCCATCCTCTGCTCCTTCAGATGGTGGCTGACCGCACCGTCTCTCAGCAGCTCGAAAGCGACTAAGACGAACCCACGCTTTCCCATTGGTGGTAGCCAGGCCCTCCTTTCTGGTCTGACCTGGGAGGCTTGGCAGCGACCCCACCGTACAAAGTAAGGATGCTGTCAACTCCAGGTCCCCGGGACCTTCCTCCTGTAAAGGCTGCCAGACCGACCTCCCGAGGCCTGGTGGCTCTTCACGTTGGCGTGGGCGCGTGGGTCCTGAGCAGACCCTGCCTGTGAAAGCGTTAGGGAATAACACCTCTGAACACGGCTCCAGCACGTGGCTGGAAGTGGAGGTGTAAATGGCCTCGTGGGTGTTAAGGATGACTTTGGTGTCATGCTAGTTCCCAGAGTCGCCAGAGAACAAAGGCTCAGTGACCCCCGGTGAGAACCGGCCTGCTAATGTCGTCTGCTTTGGTTTCCATCGTTCCCCACACGGTTTCCCCAGACCCTTACTGATGTCCAACTTGCAATAATCCTCCTGCCTCAACCTCCCGAGTGCGGGGATGACAGGCGTGCACCACCGTGCCCGTCCCTCATGTAAGCTCGATCCTGGTTGCAAAGCCTTTTTCTAAAATACACACAGCAGATGCGTACAGAGCATTCCCACAGTGGAACCGTGAATCCTGGTACCTTGGGTCTCAGGGCCATGAGGACAGCAAAGGTGGACAGGTGGTGGCACTCGCACAAGGTGTAGGAATCATTGCCGCCCAAGGGATGGCAGCCGTCGGTTGACCAGCTGCCGCCTTCCTCTGATCCTTCCCAGTAGACGCAGAAGTACTGTCTGTTCTCAGCTCCTGTCTGCAAAGACAAGAGCACGCGGGTGGATTTCCTTCTGGTTTTATGATTCCACGTCAGCTCCTCTCCTCCCGCCTCTGGCTACCCCTCAGTGTCCGCGGCTGTGACGGAGGTTCCCCCTGCTGTGTCTCTGGGTGTCTGGGCATGTGCTGTTTCCTGCTAGATTTACTGAGGTGCGATAAACATTTATAACTGTACGCACTTAAGGTGCACGAGGCGATGCTTCGAGGTACGCACGCGTTATGAGTGATCGCCATAACCAAACTTACATTCACGTTGCATTTTCTTTTTGTGGCGAGGAAACCAGAAACACACGCTAAGGAAATTTCAAATGCACAAAACGTTACTAATAGCTGTGGTCATCACGCGGTACATTAGGTCTTTTTTTTTTTTTTCCTTTCTTTGGTGCCGGGGATCGAACTCACGACTTCAAGCTCATCAGGAAGGCGATTGCACCGCTGAGCCAAAGCCCTGGCCCCAGTACGTTAGGCCTTTAAAGTTTATTAACTTTATAATGTTTGTGATCTTTGACCACCGTGTTCTCATCCTCCAACCCCATTTCCTCCTATCATTCTGTGCTCTGTTGCTGTGAATTCGAATTTCTTTGATTCTGTATGTTGAGATCACACAGTGTTTATCATTCTGTGTCTGGCTCACTTTACTCAGCAGAACGTCCTCTGGGGTGTTTTTGTAAGTGGCAACGTGCCTTTGTTTCTATGGCCGCATGTGATTGATTTTTGCCACATTTCCTTTGTCACTGTATCAGTTGATGGACACTTAGCTTGTTGTCACGTGTATGCCATTATGCCAGCACCCCAATGAATATGGGGGTGCAGATCTCTGTCTGATACACTGTTTTCCACCTTTTGGATACAAACCCAGTGTTGGGACTGCTGGACCACATCTTGTATCTCTAGGATCAAAAATGTCCCCCTCCAGGCTCATGTGTTACACGGCTCTTGGGAGGGAGCCTGCTGTCCTGCTGATTTCACGGCTCCATGAGCTGTCGGGGCTGAGCCGCCCTGGCGGAAGCGGCTGCGTCTTTGAGAGCCTCCTACTGTGCTTGGCTCTGCAGGGTTCACCGCTGACCACTGGCCTGTGAGGTGGGCAGCTTTACTTTGCCCCGTGCTTTCTACGCTGGAACCCGGCAGCGATGGACTGAAACTTCTCAAACCAGGAGCCCAATAACCCTTTTCCCTTCCAGCTCCGTGTGTCAGGCGTCTGGTCCCGGCGGAGAAGCTAACACACAGACCCGATTCTGCTAAGTGCAGCCGTGGCTGTGGCTGACCCCACCCTGTGCTTCCGGAGATTTGGGGCTGTTTGCTGGGGGGCTTTTGGGAAAGGCTGCATAAACGATCCAGAGCAACCCTAAAATGCTGTAAGCAGAGCTTGGCAGGTGATCCTGGCTGCGACTCAGGAGCTCAGCTTGCGGATGAAAATGCAGACCATAAAGACCTCGTTCATGAGGTTTCAGACAGAAACGAGGTGGACCGCAGGGCACGCATGCTTCGTTTTGGCAAAGGATTTGTCTGTATCTCGTCCGTGCCTCGAAGCTTTCTTTGGTGAGGCTGTGTGGAAGACAGCCGGGTGATGGACTTGGCACAGGGGATTTTCAAGTAGTACCAAATTCGGGTGACGGCATGGACATTGCTGACTGACTGATTTCATCCAGATGGACAGTGTGAACTGAGAGAGAAAAACAGGCTTAAAAGCTTTGAAAAACTTGGCAGTCTGTCCAGAAAAAAGGCGTGTGTGAAGTTGCGACCAGAGATGGTAGGAAGAGGTGCTGTAGAGGTTACCACCACTGAAGAGCACACAAGTACTTTGCAGACCGGCAACCGGAAAAGCCCGTGACGATGTCTCGGAAATTAACCAGGCCACAGCTGTCACAGGTTATAGGTGTACAAGGGCCAACTCCCTGGAAAGATGTGGCTTTGGGAAGGCAGTCCCAGGGTGTCCCGTCCACTCAGGGCCACCCCGGGAAGTGTCTCCTCAGCTCAGCCACCCAGGCACGCGGCCGCTGAGGCTGCGATTCAAGGGGACCAAGCTACTGCTCACGCCGCAGTGGAACTTGGCGTTCTGTGTGGTGCTGGTTTTGCAGGCATGCGGAAGGCAAAGGTTAATGGGGCAGGGTTTCCCCCAGATGTCACAGGCAGGCGTGGAGCCAGCTACAGGGACGCATGCCTAAAACCCAGCCATCTGGGAGGCTGAGGCAGGGAAACCTCTGGGTCCAGCTCAGACACATTAAGGTCTCAGTGACACTTGTCTCAAAATTTCAAAACAGGGCAGGGGATGTAGCTCAGGGGAAAGGCCTGGGTTCAGTGCCAAGTACTACAAAAAAGCCAAGATTTGGGAGGTGTTACGGCTTGTGTCTTAGATGGCCCTTAAAGCCTAGAAGCCCGGCACTCAAGAGGCTGAGGCTGGAGGATCACAAGTCCAAGGCCAGCCTGAACCGCAGGCAGCCTGTGTCTCAAACAATAACAAAAAAGATACATGCCTATGAGACAGCGTAAAGGCCACTCTCTGAGAGACTTCAGGGGGGAAGGAAAACAAATATGTAGAACATGGAGAATTTTAGGAATTAGTCAAATTATTCTGTATCTCGCAGCTATAACGGACCCGTGTCACTCAGTGAATCAAAATCCACAGAACACGCAACAGAGTCAGCCTTCGTGTAAACTTGGACTCAGTGTATCACCATTGGTTCACTGAGTTTCTTTTTAAAATTTATTTCCATTTTGCAGTAATAGAGATCAAACCCATCACCTTGGTGGCGAGCTGTGTCCCAGCCCTTTCTATTTTGAGTCAGGCCCTTGGGCTTCAACTTGGGATCCTCCTGCCTCAGCCTCCCGAATGCTGGAATTAAATGTCCCCACCACTGTGCCTGGCTCTAATTTTTTTCCTGTTGTTTCTGCAGTGCTGGGATTGTGCCCAGGGACTCTGCCCCTGGCTGCATGCCAAGGCCTGCTCTGTTCCTTCTAATTAATCATCCTGTAAACCTCAAACTGCTCTTAATTAAGTCCCAGGGCTTGGGAGTGTGGCTCAGTGAAAAAATGCTTGCCCAGCACAAGTAAGTTCCTCTCAGTTGAAGGAGTTGGATATTATGTTTCTGTGACAAGAAAGTGACTCAGACAACATCACAGGCAGCTGGGTGGAGTCACATGCTGAGGGGCAGAGAATCAGATGGGGCCGGGCGCTGTCACCCTAATGGTAAGGGGCATGGGGACAAGATATGAGAAGACGACAGACACTTCTGGCCACCCCGGGATCCCGAGTGTCCAGGAGGCAGGAGGCTGCCGACGCTCTGCAGTGGGTGGGAACTACCAGGAGTGTCTGGTGGGGCAGGCCGGTGATGCTCTCAACATGTGTCAGTTTGCGAGGCCCAGCAGAAAAGGCCATAAGAAAACTGTGTGAACCAGGAATGCGTTGCTTCTGTGACATCTTAGGAGGCTGTGGGTGCAGCTCAATGGCACGGCTCTGCCCAGCATGTGCAAAGGCCGGGGGGCCTTGCCCTGCACCCTGAAGACACACACACAGGAACTTGGGTCAGAACACACACAGGGCCTAGAAGCTGTGGGTGCCAGGAGGGTCCATAGCTATTTCTGCATCAGGTCGGGAAGGGGGCGGCCTGTTTACCAGCTACTGTCCAAGAGTCTAACCACGCGCCAGAGCTAACTGGCAAGCCGATGAGCCCAACGCAGGATGGCTCAGGCCTAAGGTCAGACCTGTGCTCCCGGAGGAAGGTGGGTGCAGCCCGTGTGTTTTCTGCAGATCCCGAGCAGTGCAAAGGCTCCTGAGGGTCCCTGAAGGTACCACACCGAATCGCCCCAAAGGAGAGGTGAGCCGGGCATGGTGGCACACGCCTGTGGTCCCGCCACTCAGGAGACCGAGGCAGGCGGATCACTGGTTCAAGCCCAGCCTGGATCATTTAGCAGCCCAGTGAGACTTTGTCTCAAAATAAAAAATAAAAAGAGATTTATTCAGCTCACAGTTCTGGAGGTCACCGATGGAGTGTGTGTGTGTGCACGAGTGTTCCTGTGTGGGTGCCGGGGACCGAACCCAGGGCATGCTAGGCAAGCCCTCTACCACTGAGCTACACCCCAGCCCTCACGGATTGTTTTTTTAATCTCTTCTTTTCTAGCTATCTATTTATTTTGTAGTATTGGGGATCGAACCCGGACCTTCCCAGGAAGCTACTCCAATAGCCTGAGCTGGGCTCCACCTCCTGAGCTGAAGCGACCCTCCGTCTCCGCAGAACAAGGAATCCTGACCTCAGAGCATCGAGCGAGTCCCCGTTGCCAGGTGTGTCGCCCACCGTCATACATCGCCGTGTCAAAGCACCAAAGCTCTGCTGCTGTGTTGCTCTGTCTCCCTTTGCAGGGGTTTCGGTGTTTGCCGTGCGCTGTGTGGCACTGTCCTCACGGAACCTGCTTCCCAGGTTCGTTCACCCTCAGACTGTGAATTCACCAGCGTCCTCACCGATCATGGACACGGTGCTGCGTAAATTTTGTATATGTGCATAAAAATATTTTACCTAGAGATTATTTTTGCAAAAATGTATTGTATGTGGGCAAATTTCTAGTCTCTTTTGTCCCCGAATGAACAAGTTATATTTTACTTGGTCTCAAATGTACATTTCAGAAAACAAGACCAAACAGCTGTGATCACCAGCAAATATTGTCAGAGTTAACCTTTCTGTTTAAGTGGGCAATTTTTGGAAGACAAGGTAAGAGTGATAACTTTTCAGTGGCTCATGCCAAATGTCACTTGCTTTACTTGAAATTAGTGTTTAAGATAATCAAAATTACAATTACTGACCCTGAAGAGATGTAACATGCCACAGTGAACTTCACCGTGCAAGATATAAGGTTTTAATGTTAAAACTCTGGTGGCCTCCATATGTACAAATGAACAAATTGAAATTGTACCTCTTTTAAAAATTAGGGCTTAAATTCTGAACGGGGATTTAGCTCGGAGGCCCACGTACATACATGTGGTCATACACTTACTTTAGTGTTCTGTTTTTCTTTTGCTTTTTGCATTCATCCCATCAGCGTTTGGTCCCATGTGTTCAGTCGGGGTTTTTGGGAGAGGATTAGATCCTGGGGTGCTGACCTCTGAAACGGGGTCCCTTGGTGACGAGTTCGTGGCTTAACGTGTTATTAGGCAGCAGGACTGGTCTGAGGATGGGGGCACCAGGGTATATTTTTTAAGGGTGTATTTTTGTTGTTGCCCCTCAATCAGTCTCTGTCTCTGTCTCTGATAAAAACAATCCATACGCTATCATAATCCTGGTTCTAATGTTTGTGGCATCTCCGCCCTGTGACGGGGTGCTAACCTACCTCCCACTAACATCTGTGGGCGTGTGCTCCGTCCACACCCCATCCACACGTATGACTGTTTGTAAACGCGCTCTTTGAAGCTGCCTCTGCGTTTCTCATCCGTTCTTTTATCTCTGAGCCCTGACAGTCAGACTGAGCCCGGGTGGGGAAGCTGATGGGCCGCCGTCCCCCTGAGGGCAGCGCTGGGCCGCGCTCACCTGGGTGTGCTGGAAAGTCAGGGACACGGGTGCAGCCAGGGAAAGCTTGTCTCGTAGACCAACCGTGCCGCTCACGACGCGCGAGTTCAGCCTCACTGCCCTCCTGCCTCTGGGGTCATTAAAAAAGGAGGCGTCCAGAATATCCCCCACAGACTGGTAGGTGATGAGAGCCACCGTGCTGACTTCTGAGGGAACAGGAGTGGAGGAGTTAGAGGGGTCTGCGGGCACCTGGTGCCCTGGGAGGGCACAAGGAAACACAGTGTCGGTTATAGTCACCCGGGGAAGGTGCTTCAGTTGCATACACAGTATGCTACACGTGGCGGGGGCTGCAGAATCTCGAACATGTATTATAATGCCCTACACATCATGAGGGGTCTGGGTGCAAAACGTGCCTGTCAGTGGTGCATGAAAATACCTGATTCCTTTAGCCGTCAAAACCAGCGTCACACCTATGAGTAGGCAGTGTGGCCAAAGTCACCGCGCACATTACAATTGACTGCACTTAGAAAATCAGCTCACTGTTACATCTTTTGTCTCTCTCTCTCCCCTCCCCAGCCTGTAACTCACAGTGAAGAGTGTGTGTTAACAGGACCCAGGAATTTTCTGGAGTGCACAGAGCAGGCTTCTCAGTGTTCCCAGGCACTGAGGCACTGTGTGTCTGTCTCTGACGTATTCTGTCATCAAGCATTTCCTGGGCACCTGCCGTGTGCCAGGCCTCCCAGGCCTTACGATAGCATGGTGTGCAGAGCACTGTCCTTGCCATCAGACAGGGAGACAGCGACAATGCATAAATTAATAAGAGAAATAGTACGTACTGTGGATCTAAAATACTGCCCAACTTGCAGAACAGAGGGAAACTCTGAGTCCACCTTGAATAAAGGTGTTCATAATACACGTCTCAGAGTGATTTAGACAACGGTTGCCCACCTCGCTTGGGTGACGTTTCCTGACTGTCACACAGAGACAAAGTGCACATTAGTGTGTCTGTGTCAGGAGCTCCATCGGTGGAGCCTAGCTTCAACCTCAGCCTGAACTGCAAAGTACACGCTCCAAATGAGGATCCAGCTTTGGATCTGGGCTCCACGGGGCAGAGCTTTTCACTGTAACCTGTGGCGTCTCTAACCTAGAACTGTGCGTCTCCACCTACTGATGCGCGTCTCCTAGAAAAAAGACAGCGCTTGCAACGCGAGACCCCGCGTGGACTCCTACCTTTTCTGGCTCCTTTGAAAGCGTCCGCACAGTTGATGTTCATGGAGTTGTTGCCAGCTTCCAGAAAGGTCTGCTCGTGACATTTCTTGGCTTCATAGACTGAAATATGAAACAAGCTGAGTCCTGCTATGTAGTTGCTGCTTATGCCTTGGAAATCAGCTGAAGGCTTTTAGACAGTTTGTAAGACACCATGCAAACATGCTCAGAAACATGAGCAGAGCTGGTTTGGTCATTTACCCTTTCAATTTATATTTCCCAAGGAGTCACTCATGGAGAGTGTCAGAGGAACGGTTTGCTCATTCTGAGAGCTGACAGAGTCCGTCTTCCACAGGCTCTGTCCACACCAGGCCCCGTGTCTCTCTGAGGTGGCCGTCGGAGTCCGCCTAGAATCTCTTACCTATGTTAAACGCGGAATTACTGCCCTTTCCCGGAGAAGCAGAACTCTGATTCCATACAGTCATTTCCACGTCATGGAGTAGTTGGGTGATCCATCTTGCAGTTTCCTTTTTGGTAGCATTTTGTGTTGGGGGTTTCTGTCAAAGAAATAGCCCTAATTAGGAGGATTTCCACTGAAACTTAAGAGACCAGGAACATGGATAAATCAGCTGGATGAGCCTAGCAAGCCACACTGGTAATGAGCTGTGAGGTGGGGTAGGAATCAAGTTCTTGATGATTGAGGAAAGCTGGGCAACCTAAATCTATTTCAGAGTTTCTCCATGTGTGCGACCTCTGAACTAGATAACCCTTCCCTGAGGTAGGCTGTCCTGGTACTCTAGGAAGGTGAGCTGATCCATGATTTCCAACTAGATGCCAGTAGCAATCCTCCTTGGGTTTTAATAATACTGCCAATTTCCCCATTGGATGGAGGAAAAAATTGTGCTCCAAATGAGCCATACTCTGTCTTAAAAATCACAGGGCGAGGCTGCATGTGGTGGCACCCACACGTAGTCTCAGCTTGCAGGAAGCTGAGGCAGGAGGATCACTGTGAGTTCAAGGTCAGCCTGGGCTACAAAGTGAGTTCAAGGCAGCCTGAACTGCAGAGTGAGACCCTGCCTCAAAAAGACACACACACACACACACACACACGCACACACACACGCACGCACGCACACACGCACACTATCACAGAGCTTTGTGGTAGATTTCCAGCAGGGCAGTGACATGCTGAGACTTACTAGTTATATCCCAACCCCAGGCTTCACCCCACTCACCCAGACATCCTGTTGTGGGTGTTGTGATGGTGTCGTCGGGTTCTCTGAGAAAGAAAGTTAGCCGTTAGGTGAGCTGTGGAGAAAACACGCCCATGCTTCCACCACCCTCAAGTTGGATCTGTTCCCGATGCTTTGCAGCCCATCCTAGCTGCCCTTTAAAACCTCCGAAACGTATTCTGCAACAGAACCTTTTGTTTTTTGCAATGCTAGATGCTGAACCAAAGGTCTTACATGAGCTCAGCAAGCGCCCTACCACTGAGCTACACCTCTGACCTTACAGTAGACTTTTAAAAGGGAATTAGCATGCGATTTCTAGCTGAATCATTCCATCAGAAGCATTTGTTGAGCAGGGACAGTTGATCTTGACTGTCAACATGACCGGCTGGAGAGACACCAGGAGATAGGGATCGCACTTCTGGGTGAGTCTCAGCCCATCCCTGGGGCTCTTCCCTTGATTTCTAATTCTCAGTACTGGGAGTTGAGCGATTTTGCTTGACCATGATGTTTTTGCGTTGGAGCTGGCTGACCATGGACTGCAGTCTCTGGAACTATGAGCCGGAATAAATCTGCCTTCCTTTGGGATGTGGGAGTCAAATATTTTGTCCTACTAATAGGAAAACCAACCAGTACAAGGAGCTATTCAAAACCAGGCACAAGATAAACCTCTGTCCATCCATCCATCCATCCAACTACTTTTTTTTAAGCTTTTTTTTTTTTTTTGGTATCAGGGATTGAACTCACAACCTCGTGCTTGCAAAGCAGGTACTCATGCTGCTGAGCTAAATCCCTGGCCCCCATTAATCTACTTAATCTGTCTGTCTGTCTGTCTCAGTGATATTTCTTAATGGAATTCAAACTCTGGCAGGATGTTCATTAAGCAAACAAATACAAGTAAGTAGTCAATTGATTGCAATTAATCCTCTTATTAAATAGGATGAGATGACCTGGATGTATCCGACAGATCCCCAACACGTCAAGGTTAAGGGAAACCTAAAGTAAAAATACAATCTAGAGGGAAGCAGGGAGATAGATCTTTCCCAAAGAGGAAGATGAACAAGAGCTGGAGGGACAGGGGAAGATGGGAGGGATTGGGGATGAAAAAATAAATGAGGTTTGGTTACGGTTGGTGTCTAGATGCCCCCACGGTGTCATGCAGTCCTGGGGCGTTTTCAGAAATGGCTGAACCTGGAGCGTGGGATGCTGGGATTGAGGGTGTGATTAGTAAATCAGGCCACTGATTGGTTTGTCACAGTTCTGGGTGGGATTAGGGGTGAGAGCGTTACAGCTGCTCTGGGGGCAGCCGGCAGAGTCCGGTTTCTCTCTTGCCTCTTGTTTTTGTGGTCTTCTGCGGCCTGTGACTCTTTTCCCTCCACCGTGGCCCTCTGCCACGCCGCCGGCCTGGAGTCCAGCCGATTATGGACTGAAACATCTACACATTGCTAAGTAATGCCTTTTACCTTTGGGTGTTGGGAAAGGTAACTGGACAGCTGTGTTATGTCCCTTCCCAACCCACACAAGGAGCAGTACGTACCACAAAAGTGTGTCCCCGAACTGAATTACACCACACTGAGCTAAACTAAACTAAATCAAACTAAATCAACAAGCCAAAGTGACCAGGAGAGGTGTGTGTGGATGGAGGGGAGGAGGGAGGGAAAGGAAACGGGACGTCTTTAAGTGTGTAAACTTGTGTACTACACACGTGTACTGATGAACTGAAATTTAAGAAAAAATAAAAATGTTACAAATAAAAGAGCAGGTTTTCCAAGTAAATGAGCATTAAATAAATTAATAGGGAAGCAACTATCTACACATCAGGGTATCTAAAGTTTATTTCTATGTACACCATCTTGTTTAAGGTAGCTTCTGAACGCACCTGTAGGGTGTAATAGCTGTAATATTGACCTTTCTGTGAGTTTTCAGGCATTTTACATGCGTTAATAATCACAAAGTGTAAATGAGATTGCTTTATAACACACACTGAGTGAAAACAAGAAAATGCATTTTCTTAATCATTCTGGATGCTTGAACTGAGAATTCAAAGCGTCAGCAGGCTGTGCTCCCTGGAGGTCCCGGGGCAGAGTCCTGCCTGGTCCCTTCTCATTTCCGGGGTCACAGCAGCAACTTTGCGGTTCAGTGACCGCGACTCCATCTCTGTCCTGGTCTCCGTGAGGCCATCCTTGCATCTCAGCAGTCACCTGGGGGAATGTGGAAGTGGCTCTTCTCCCTCATCGAGGCTTGGCCTGAAGCGGTGGCTCTGCATAGTCCCTGACTGTGGGTGTGAGGGGCTGAGATGCAGGAGAATCACGTAAGCCAGGCCTCGGCTGCTGACCTCTGAAAAGCAGGAAGGTGTTGAGCTGCAGCGCTGTGGAGCTGAGTAGATGCCATCCGTATTCCCACATGTGGAGCATTAGACATACGTGTGAACATTATGGTGCCTCCTGTGCTCACAGGGCGGGCTTTTGGAGGGCATTGTACTGATGGGTGTGCAACCTTCATTAGTGGATCTGTCTGCTGATGAATTTATAGCTACATGTGACATGGAGGGTGAAGCCCGGTTGGGAGAGTCGGGCCTCTCTGGAGCGTGGCTTGGAAGGTTCCGTCTCCTGTCTCCTCTCTGCCTGCCCGGCCATGAGCTGTGTCTCCTCTTCCGTGCTGACCTGCCTTGCAGCCAGCCACCAGTGGACGGAGACCTCTACAAACCGTGAATCAAAGTAAGCCTGTCCTCCTCACGGTGTGGGTGTTGGGTATTTTCTTCCAGCAACAAAGAAAGTAACCAGGACAACATGCTGTGTGAAAGGGTTTTGGCCCAGATAGGACACTGTAGCCAGGAAAGCCTCAACCGGAACCAGGAAGCCCCAATCTCCCCCGCCCCTAGGGATGTACCTGTGACACCATCTTCCTGCCCCTGGGAACTTACCTGTGGCACCAAACCAGGACCAGTGGGCTCCCCGTGCATCCCTGATGCCCCCTTAGGGTCCACCCCAAAATGAGGCTACTTGCATACCCCCCCACCACGTGTCCACCAGAGAGAAAGCCGGACACCAGCGGTCTGGGGTGCCGGTCATCTCTCTCCGTGTTCTCAGAATAAAGGCCTCTTTTGTTTTATACTTCTCATCTTTTGGATATAATCCTATCATTTGGTGCCGTGACTCGATCAGCAGGTGATTGACTCTAGGGACACACCCAGGTTGAGTCCCCAGCCGATTTGCGAACCGGATAACATCCTGGATTAATTCTGCACTTTTTCATCTCCCGAGAGCTGTTTGACTTGTCGCCAGCCGCCTGCACTCAGCATCAGCCAGATTGATTTCAGGTGAGCACTCTCCAGGGAACTCTTGGCGCTGGGCAGCCCTGGTGGAGTTTTCTCCCCGTCTGCGTGGGTCTGTGCATTTTCACGTCCTTAGGACCGCCCAGGGCAGGGTTCTTTCTGGGCAAACCTGTGTCCAAACTCTAAAATCTCTCACGTTCTTTGGGTTTGGATAGCCCAAAGCAGAGATTTCTGGACTGCCCACACTGGGAGGACCACCTCACTTCCCTTAAAGCCTCGAGCTGTCACGGGCAAAACTGTTACTGACCCCACGCGGGCTCTACTCGTAAATCTCTCAGTGACGACTGGAATTTACGAGTTTTTGGAACTTTAGCCACTGTGTGGTGCCACAAACAAGTGACAGCTTGTTCTCTGGACCACCGGCTTACTTCTTGCCTGAATCTGTTGGGAGCCGCAGCCCCGAGCCCGGTCGCCTCACTTGGCGGACGTGAGGCCTGTAGTAAAGAGCAAAGCCTGAGGTAGATTACCCCTCCCATCGAGCACGTTAGTTTCCTGCTTACCGCGTAAGCAACCCGCTCAACAATATAGTCTGCCTGGCAACTGATGATGTTAGCCAATCAGCTTGCCTTGCTCACTTTAACATGATTGGACACTGTATCCGTGTATATATACTGGTGCCACCCCTGGGGGGGAAGAAGAAGCCAGGTAGAAGCCCAGAAGGAGCCGCGGAGAGCGGACCAAAGGAGGCTTCGGCTGGGAGCGATCCCAGGGCAGGCTGTACGGAGAAGGAAAATAAAAGAAAAGGTTGTCCACTGCCAGACTTTGTCGTGTGTCCTTCCTGCCGGCCGGGAGCGACATCGACATTTGGTGGCCCGTACGGGGACTGATCACCCCCGAGACGTGACAGCGGACAACGCTCCAGTACAGAGCTGCGAGACAGGTGAGTTGGGGATAAGCCTGGGCTCTGGGTGGCGCGCACCTACAGGGCTTTTAGACTCCCCTCAGGCTCACGCGTAAGTGGCGGATTCCTTGGGCCTCACGCGGTGAGTAACATATTAAAAGATGGGAAACATGCTAGGTAGCAACACTAAGAGCGAGGGTGGTTGTGGAGAAAGCTCTCAAGAGCTTACAAAAGTACGCAGGGTATCTGAGCAGGCCCAGTCAGGGAGCTCCCGAGAGGGGTCCGTCAAGGGGAACAAGGATGCTAAGGAGGAGGACGGGGCTCTAGCCTCGGAGTCGTCTGACTCCGAGGACGAGGGAAAGTTGAATGGCAAGGAGGCCAAAGAGACCAGCTGTCAGGAGCCTAAGTCGCTCGATAAGGAGTCGCAGGGTTCTTTCCCAGCGTTGCGCCGTGAATTGCGCTCCGCTCAACTTGGTCTGCGGAGGAGTAGGGAGCTCCTGAGCGCTCCCCGGCGCGAGAGGGAGGCGAAGCCTTCCGCCCCACCTTGGGGGCTGTTCCCGGAGGCGATCCCTCGCCGCGAGGCGGCCGCCCGGGAGCTCCCTTCCCCTTCGCCAGAACAGGAAGTGATGCACGGGCCCCCATTTTCCGCCCAATCATGGCCGCCGTCTTATGCTCCGCCGCCGGCGGGTCGGTATTTTTACAGGCGGCTTTGGCAGGGGGGACGTTTGTCTCATGAGGTACATCCACCACCTGGGATAGATAGTGGCCCCTACGGGATATTTCCTGTACAAGTAGCTATGGGCCAGGGACGTAATGCATGGGAGCCTTTTGAGATAAAGCAGATTAGAGAACTTAAAAATGCAGTTACAACCTTT